CCCCCCCCCCCAACATCCTCTCTCAAAAAATAAAATCAATGAAACATATTCTCAGGTGAGGATTAAAAAATAAATAAATAAAAAGTAGAAGAAAAGTTTTAAAATTTCAAATTCTGATGGCGGCAACATCTGGCTCAATAGCAATGCTATCTTGGTATTAATATATTAATGGCAAAGAAATGATCAGTTTTTAAAAATTAGTACACTTTTTTTAAAAAAAAATATGTCTTCATTGATTTCAGAGAGGAAAGGAGAGGGAGAGAGAGAGAGAAACATCAATGATGAGAGTCATTGATCGGCTGCCTCCTGCTCGCCCCCTGCTGGGGATCGAGCCCGAAACCCGGGCCTGTGCCCTGACTGGGAATCAAACCGTGATCTCCTGGACCATAGGTCTATACTCAACCCCTGAGCCACACCGGCCGGGCAGTATACTATTTTTTTAAGTGCCAAATTGGAGTCGTGCCGTAATCTTTCACATAAACTTACAGGTCATTGTCTAGACAGAAGCAGGAAGCAACAATGTACAATTTTAAACGATGAAATTCTCCCTTCAAGGACAAGAGATAAAGGATTCAGCCATTTCTTCTCCTAATCGTAAACAGCAGTATAATGAATTGTACTATGGCTCCTTCTAAATTTTTCAGTATAATGGCTTTGGTGACCAGGAGTTAAAGGATAGGGATTTTTTTTTTCTAAAGTGTACAGGAGATGGAGGCTGTAAGGTAGGAGAGGGCAATGCAACCTCAGACTTCAATATATTTAAGACCTAAAAGAATCTAAACACAGCCTTAGGACAGAGAAGCTCTTAGCTTAATTTTTCCATCAAAGGGACAGAAGTCCCTACTTATCAAATAAGGAATAAGACTAAGTCCTTCATTTTGAGAAACAATTCTGATTTTTAGAATTGCTCCTTCAGTCTGAGAGGCTACTGCGTTTCTTTGTTTTAGCAGAACATTCCCATGCCTTTCTGTACTTCGCTTACGTGTGTGTGTTTTAGATCATGAAGAGCCCTGTGGCCTCAGGCACAGGTCCTTTTGCCTGAATGGGGGGATGTGTTATGTGATACCTACCATGCCCAGCCCGTTCTGTAGGTGAGTGACAACGATGGGGCGGAATGGGGGAGGGGGGAGGGGCAATTTTATTTTTTATCATCTAACTTATTTGAGAAGTGATACTGAACAAAAAGTGTAAGATGAAAAAGTTCAAGGAACTCTTCACACTTACAAAGAACAGAATTATGCTCTTAAAACAGTGGCAAATCACAATCTCACGCAAAGCATTTATTGTGAAAATGGGTAGTGGTAGTTTCAAGCTTAGTCAGCTTTTTAAAGAATCCATTTTAGTGAACTCTATCTTAGCAATTCAGGGAAGACAGACTACACATTGAATCCTACTCGCCAAACAGCTAGAGAACTCACTAATGCAAAAAAAGCTCAACATAAGGTATTTTGCTTTGTGTTTAAGCTACATGATAACTGTGCTGGTACCAAAACTTACATTTGATAATGTTAGAAGGAAAATGAAGAATTAAGTTTTTCTTATGGTGGCAGTTATATTTGGTGGCAAATGAAGAGATTTAAAAATTCTAGAAAAGAAGGTAGTGAGGTAGGGAGAACTACCAGCCACTAAAACATACTATAAAGCAACAATATTGAAGCAGGTGTTAGAACCCAAAACGAGATGTGTAGGTCATTGATCAGTAATAGAGAGAAATGCTGTTACTTAAACAAATGCAACATGTTAAAGGAGGTGCTGTTAAACCATAGGAAAGGGAATGATTATTTAATAAAGTTGGGTTTGGAAAAACCATTTAGCAATATGGAGAAAAACCCATTTAGACCCACATCTACGCCAGACTTAACAAAGTAAATTTCAGATAAATGTAAGTGTGGATAATTCCATCACTGTAAACCTGGAACATAATGGGAATAGTCTATAATTTCTATGGGGTTTCTAGGCAATTAGAAAGCTTGAAAAGGAAGACAGCAAGGATTAGACTGCATCTGCTCATTGGTTTTACAGTAACTGTAGTTCTGTGAGCGCTGTAAAACATGCCTACCTAGCCTGTGTTCATAATCTGAAAATTTGTCTTTTTTCTTGACACCAGCTGGAAACTGTTTGTTGTCCGTATTAGTTAATGGAACATAGAACGCAATTATTTAAAAAAAATAAAAATTATATATATATGTTTTTATTGATTTCAGAGAGGAAGGGAGAGGGAGAGAGAGAAACATCAATGATGAGTGATCGGCTGCCTCCTGCACGCCCCCCACTGGGGATCTAGCCCGCAACCCGGGCATGTGCCCTGACTAGAACGCATTTCTTTATCTAATGTTTTATTCTATAGATGCATTGAAAATTACACAGGAGCTCGCTGCGAAGAGGTTTTTCTCCCAAGCTCCAGCATCCAAGTTAAAACTGACCTGTTTGCAGCTTCTGTGGCATTGGCTTTTTTTTTAATAACTCTTATCCTTGGAATCCTCTACTTCCTTTGCAGGTAACCAAAAAGAAATACGTGCTTTTGAAAAGAAAAAATAGTGTTTTCTGTTTCTCTAATAGTTATCGTTACTAAATCAGTAAGTCATTTTTTTGAAAGGTTCTTAAGCAGTCTGTTCTTTGTTACTGTCATTATTAACCTTGACTTCTCTAAACTAGTAGACATACATTCACTACAACAGTCATGCTGCAAACACCTAAATATTTGGGCTAGGTATGTTTAAAGTCAATTCTGAATGTGAAAGAAAAGAAACAACTTATGCAACATTGTAAATATAAATTTAACACATAGGGTTACTATCTAGGGTCAGCTCTTCGGTTAGTGTCTTCTACGTGCTAGGCACTGTACAACCATGAAGAATTGGGAACGGGGTAGCTGTTCCCTAACTTCATATCAGAGAGATTTAATCAACTTGGAGAGACAAGCAAGCAGGCAATTAGTCTGAGAGACAACTAGTAACTCATAAGACAAAAGTAAAAATGACTTGTGAAAAAATGCTGTGCACTGAAGACTACTTTCATTAGTTTTAGTCTTCCATTTTTTTCCTGAAATTTTGTGAAAATAGGTATTAAGTTTAGGAATTATCTTAATTCTCATCATTAATCATTTTTCTTTCTTTTTCTCTTTTTTAAGGGAGTAGCATTGGTTACTAAAATTATATAGTGTTTAAGTGTACAATTCTGTAATACATCATTTGTACATTGTATTGTGTGTTCACCACCCCAAGTCTCATCATTAATTATTAAATGCACACTGTATGTTATCATAGATACTTGTGAAAATGGAATCCTGGAGTTGAACACAGTGGTTGACTAAAGCTACCCACGTCACATAAGGGTCCCAACAAATGAAAATGAACCTCTTTAAAAACAGCACAAAAACATTACACTAAAGTACATCTCTGCTGTCTTAAAGGAAGAGACTAAGTCCTCACAGGTGACCTGTCTGCCCTGGCAGATTTGTTAAATAACGGGGCACAGTTTTAGGGCAGCCCTGACAATTTCAGGTAGTTGTGGAGAAAATGAATCTCCAAACATTCAAGTTCAGATTTTCTTTCTGCTTTTCCACTTACACAATGTCTTTCCTTCTTACTGTCAGGAAGGATTACCTCCCGAGGGCCAATTCAGTTGCATATGATATCGGCCTGGTAGAGACAGGCCATAGCAGTGGCCACCACAGTAAGTAACTTCCAAATGAAACGCTTATTTTAAAGCCCTGGATGAGACTGTTATTACATGTAGGGATTTGAATCTAACCCAAAAAAAGGTTGACCCTAAGTTTCCTATGGGTTTTGAAATAAGCACACTTCTTCACATGTATTAACAAGTC